TGCATTGTTCTGTTGTCACATTCAATACAAAAGTCCACATGATCACTCAGAGCACACAATCACAGGAATGAGTATTCCATAACAAAGGAACTAATTCAATGGACGCCCCCTACTCTCCTCCAATCAGAGTTCTCTGTTCCATAACTGACCACTACATGGACATGTTAAGGGGTCATTTATTGTTTGCCAGGGTTTTTTGCCTTTTTGGTAATTAATGTCCCAAGTGAAATGCCAGCAAAGTAACCCTAATGTTGCTTGAATTGACCTGGAACCATGGAATAAGGGGAAGAAAGCCATTCTGCATTTTGAAAGATTGCATGCAAAAGAACATTTTCCTCCATGCAACAAGTTGTAATTTTCAATATTTGTGTTAGATGAGAGCAGTCTTGGTGTCTCATTGAATGTTTTATGGGCACTCCAACCGGAGGACTTGGAAAAGCCAAGTCATAACTTGTGGACGTTGTAAACGAGCGGGGGACAGGGATATAAAAATACAAGGATGGCTCTGCTCAATACAGACAGGCCAATTCCATTTCTTTCCCTCGGCATCACAAATTATGTCAACAGTGCCAGAGAGAAAAAAGGCGAGTACTGGATCAAGAAAATACAGGCCCCCCAGGCCCTGTCTGTGTCTCTGTTAGTGTGTCTGTCTGTCTGTCTGTCTGTCTGTCTGTCTGTCGCTGTTTCTAGTCACAGCTGGCCATGTTGAATACTACAGGTTCCACTTCTGTTTTCTTTGTGTTTGTTATTTTAAAGGACATGGGTTAATTCACTTTTACAGGCTGACATATGGTCTAATCTCATAATGTCTATGTGTACATCACAGTATTGAATGTAAAGGGAGGTAATAGCAGGATGCATTTCATGGATTTTTACTTCTGTTACTGCAGGTTTAATACTGCAATAATAATTATAATAATAGTTATTTGTGGATGGATGTTTGCGTTGGGATGATCATCGATTGGAAGTCAGATCCTGAAAGAAAAGCAAACTCAAGGTCCAAGCAGACAAATACATACATGCAGTTTGTGCGCAGAAAAAAAAGAAGAAGCTGCAAGCCAGCAGCAACAGCTGGGTGTGTTTTTCTCTCACGTGTCGGGACGGGCTGTCTGTACTAACTGATGTGCTCTCTAGGTCGGGGTTTTATATCCATTGACAGCTGAAATTCTGGGCGAGCCTCTCATGGCGTCACTTCTCCAATGGCCCCTCCACGTGAGCCCACACAGACTATAGTTTTCAGACAGACACAGTCATTTATAACATTTTGAAGTTCTCAATATTGGAGGCGGGGGAGGGTTGCAGTCCCTCCAGATGACCAGAGTAAAACACAGTGGATATATTGTTACCTTTTTAAAAATTCACTGATACCTAAATAAAATCTTAAAATCTTAACCATTTTTGTTCATATCATCAAGTGCATATGCCTATAGCTTTGTTATTCAAGTAGTACACCGTAAAACACTACAGACCCATTTAGTTATGTCAGCTTAATTCTTTTTAACCCAAATAGCTCTGACAAGTTTTGGATGATAAAATGTATAAATATAGGTATATATTGCTTTGAAGCTCAATTCTGAGGCTGTTCTGTAAATAGTTTTCTAATAAATATAGCAAATTCTGATTAACCCATACCAATTTCAGCCTTAAATAACTTCCAGTTAGTCCCGCCAATTCCAGGTTAAGCCCCACCCACTACGAGTACAGATACAGAAAATTTTATTTGTTGAACAGATACAGATACAAATAGTAGTGTACCTGCTCATCCCTACTAATTATACACTGCAGATAAGTCATAAATTGAAATTCCAACCAAAATATAGACACTTGTGGTTAACAAAACTAGTGCTGCCAGTGGAAAGAGTTCCTAACAACGGCCTTAACACCCTTTCAGAAAGTTAATATGTGCCGCAATTGCCATCTAGTGTTGTAATACTTAAGAACATACTTGATCTCAAGACCAGTCTTAAGACAACTTTTTGATGGTCTTGGTCTCGTCTCGGACTCGACTGCATTTGTACTTGGTCTTGTCTTGGCCTCAGACATTGAGGATTTTATTTCAAGACCATAACTTTGGGAATATCAATAAATTGCTTTTGCATTGTCCAATTTATTTGTTAACATCCTGACTTAGATTGGATGAAAATTGTATTGCTTCAAATGCAACCAATAACTCTAATTAAAAATGTGTTGTTCCTGCTTACGTTGATTTTAGCTCTTAGCGTTTGTATGTGGGTGTTTTAATGGGAATGTAGATCTTTCAGATCAATTTGAGAAGTACACATTTTATTGTGTGTCCTGTAATGTGGGGAAATGGTCTTCCCTCGGTCTTGGTCTCGGCTTGGTTTTAGCCCTCTCGGCCTCAATAAACTCTGGTCTTGGTCTGACTTGGTTTGGGCGGTCTTGACTACAACACTATTGCCAACTATTTTGAACTTTGACTGCGGTGTGCACAGGAGCTCACTAAGTGATGCGTTGCTCGAGGCACCAACACACTGTTAAACTAACTTGGAAATGACTTACGTCAGTGTAATATAGATAGTTGTTTTAACTCACGGTATCAAGTTCAAACAATAAATGATCATTACTTAAACAAATTGTATAAGGTAACATCATCGGTTCAGTTCAGTTCAGTTCATTTATTATTATCCCAAGTGGGAAACTTGACTTGCAGTCAGGGCACATGATAAAACATAAAAAAATAAGAATAAACACCACAAATAGACAAAAGATGCACACACAATAGGCCGACATTAAAAACATAAAACAATCTCTAAATATGTTGTTACCTGAGACGATTTAACAGGGTTATTGCACTTGAATCGTGACACTCTAAATCTACAACCTGAGGGAAGAGTTACAAACTCAGAATGAAGTCTAATATAGACCTGGACTTACAGAGAACCTGCTGGTCAAAGATAGCAGTCAGGGGAGTCTGAGACACCTATAACCTTACCAGCCACCTTCACAATGTTGTTTAGGTGGTTTTTGTCCCTAATGTTCAGGTTTCCATACCATGCATAGAAAAAGTAAGAACAGATTCAATAAAAGACTTATAAAACAAACACATAGCCTAATTGTCTTATCAACATCGAAAACATTTAACTTCCTGAAGAAATACAAACGTTGTTGACCCTTTTCACAAATTGCATCAGAATTAGTATAAAATTTCAGATCACTATCAATGATTGTTCCTGAAACTTGATACTAATTTTGATGCAATTTGTAAGAAGGGTTAGCAACGTTTGTATCATGAATTGAAACAAAGCTTTTCTTAAAGTTGTGTTTACTCACATTTCTGAACCACCTTGATAATTTTTACAGTGTGGTGTGCCTCTGTGGGAGTAGAGTGTGCGACGGTGCCAATCCAGCGGAATACTGCAGTCTTTGGGAAAAGAGTGAGTGCGTTTCTCAAGTAACACCCATCCAAGCCTCTCACTGTCAAATATATTAACAGTTAAGCACAGCAGATCAGCTGGTAAAGTTTTGTGCAACAAGCACCAGACTGTTGCAAAATAATCACAGAAACGTCCATGCCTACGTGCACATAAAACCCTGTTAATTATTCTACGACGTTTGTAAATCAGTGTACGCGTGTTGTAGACAGACACTCTGAAAACAGTCAACACACTTCTATGAACTTCTCTCGCCATTGACCATCTGATCACGCCTGTCCATAACACCGGGTAACCAGGGCAACAGCTGCGCGCTTCATCCTCTTTTTAACGTCTGACCGAAATAGCTACCGCCTCGAGCTCCACATTTTTAATTACAATAGCCTACAGGTAGATGTGCGGATGGTGATGAACATGATTGGATTCAATTTCACGGCGGTGTTCCCAGAAACAAACACTGTTACAGTTATTTTAAAATCCTTATTTATCTGTCTAGCCTATCATTACCGTGGGAACTGTGATGACCGTGGGAACTTCGGCATGTCCAAAAATGTGTATTAAATTTAAAGAGCCGTCATGTGTACTTGGCAGTGTATCTGACCTGCTGTATTCATATTTGATACTCTGTACGTGCTGGACAGTAATTCCAGTGAAGAAAACTCTGTTATTGTCACAGACTAACACACACAGCTATAATATAACGGCCCAGACTCACTGGACTGGGCGCACTTGACTGCGATCACGAAAATAGAGCCCTTGGTGTCCTCTTGTGCAGGCAGAGCAGCAACTATCAAGAAAGCAGAGACAGGTGTCTGTCTCATCTGTCTGTCACTTCAAAATCTTCTTGTCACAGGACGGATATCAATCTGAAACATGACGATGATTATTAACAACAAGTTGAAGAAAACACCACAAAACGTGTTAATCTTGCATGTTAAACATTTTTAAGTTTTTTTTTTCTGTTCAGTTTTGACCGAGGCCGCAGCTGAGCTTGTTTCAGGCTTTAAAATCCTCGATCATACGGATCATCTTGTTTATCCTGTTATTATATTATTTCCACGCAAAGCTGAATATGAGCATTAATACTCACGTCAAGTCAACGTCATCGGTCCACGCGTGCATATTCAGTGCAGCCCCTCCTACAGAAAATGCGTTTCCGCGCGCCGCTCTCAGTGACTGTGCTTTACACTTAACTAAACATAGCCTAATTGTACTTTGAAACATACTTAAACCAATTGTACGCAGATTACGTGTGTCCAACGTTTTAGGGGAATAGCCTGCTGTAGCCTGTAGAAGTAGTAGGCCTAGATGTAGCCAAATATTATCCTGAATTCACAAGCTGCCCCCGTTAAGAGAAGGGGGAAAGTAGGCAAATTATTGAAAATGTATTTGGTCACAAACTGTGAAAATGTGTATAGCCTATTTTAAATACATTGTAGTAGGCTATTTTTTTAAAAACCCAAAGGGTTTATTATAAGGATTTACTCCTAGGGGCGTGTCCATCCAGAGACACCTAATGATGTTTTTCTGCCTTGCTGTCCTCAAAAAATAAAATATAAAGTCCCTGCCTACGTGTTCAGAACACTAAACATGTCAGTATGCAGACTCACTGGTTTAAGATTAAAATATTTTTTAGCTGCAGTGTACCTACTCTATTAAGAAATAGCCTGTTAAAATAAAATGGAAAGTGCTACTTCATATAAACTTTGGCTGTCGCCAGAAAGCGTGACAGCGGGCAGGTCCTTACTAGGGGGGTTTTATTTTGGAAGTTTGGCCCGGCAGTCTTTCTCTCCGGCTGTCCTCTCTGTGGCCATAATGGAGTAGATCGGATTGTTGGCGGATGAGGGCGCTTCACCGCCATTTGAAATACACATACTGGCTCTACCTCAGCTACATAGTGTGTGTGTAGCCCTGAAAGTGGGCTAGATGATGAACTGAGCGGCAGATAAAACAAAAATCTTCAATAGGAAAGCGGCACCGACCCGATTGGGTGATGTGAAAATCCTCATCGGACAGATCTTACTGGGCCGAGTTGGCTGAAGTGAAGAAGCAGGACTTTCCGTGGCTGTTGGTGCTCACGCTGGCCATCAGATGACCAAGTTGTGAAAAGTGCCCTGTCCTTGCAGTTTTTCAGCTCGAGACTTCATTTTAAGTAAGTGCGTTTATGTCTTTTAAAGCGTGCGGTGCATCTTTTTTTTGTGTGTTCATCCACATTTTCCAAACTCCATGTTTCAAGCGGCATATACGCACGACTAGGAAACTTTGTTGAAATTGCATTACACTTTCTTTCTTTTTACATTTCAGACTGCTCTTTGCAAAATCTTTTTGACTAATCATAAACATTTAATGACACCGTTAATGACAGCCCTAGGGGAGTAGGCTATTTATTTGGTGCGTTGTTCCGCATGCTGATAAATATCAAACCCTGCGGTTCAAATCGAAACGTCTGAGTGAAATGAAATAAAATGCTGGCTCATTTTAAAAAAGGACCAAGCCTTTAAGTGCTAAAGTCTAGTTTAATACATTGTGCAGTGTTGCTTCATGTTGACAGAGCCTCACGTATTGATCAATGCATCATTGCTTCAGTGACCATAATATTCCTGCCTGCCTTACTGTAGATGCGTGACATGAGGAGTGCAACTATGATGGTTTTCTGTAGAGATGTTACATTTTATTTTTTATGGTCTGTTAGTGCACAAATAATCAACAAAGTGTCAGTGAAGAAGTTGCCAGAGTTCAAGACCATAGCTTTAAGCAGCTTATTTGGGTTCATCAATAGTCCAAAAGCCAAATTTATTCAATGTACATTTATATAAAACAGAGAAAAGCAGCAGAATTACATTTTGTGGAGGAACTGCAACCAGCTAATTAGGATTCGTACTTGATACATTACTTACCGATTAATAAATATATTAAAAATATGCATTTGTTTAGTGTCACACCAATACCAAGTATTGGGTGAAAGAGGAGTTTGGGAGTTTGGATGTTGCATTCTTGTCACTGCGTCACCATTTATCAGTTTATAAAACATTCTCTCTTTTCAGCACTTTTCAGAGTGCAATTGCTCCTCTGCTGTTTTAATTAGAAAGCACACCACACTGTAATGAGATACAATGTGCAAACTTACCCCCTATAGAAGGTACACACTACAGTGGGGTAATTAATTCTGTAAGAAGAAGGTTTGTTTATTGACTGCAATGTTTCCTTACAGTCTTTTTTATCTAAATCACATATCATATCAAATAGCTGCATAAAATATTGCATGTTTGTTACATCTACCCTGATGGGTAGAACAATCTGTGACACTAGTGTATGCGGCCCAGTGCAGTGAGGAATGCACAGACCTGTATATTGGGGAGACTAAACAACCACTACACAAACGCATGGCTCAACACAGAAGAGCCAACTCCTCAGGTCAAGACTCTGCAGTCTACTTACATCTGAAGGACAGAGGACACTCGTTTGAGGACCACCAGGTGCACATTTTAGACAGAGAAGATGGATGGTTTGAAAGAGGTGTCAAGGAAGCCATGTACACCCGGGTAGAGAAGCCGTCATTGAACCGAGGAGGGGGTCTACGCCACCACTTATCCCCCTCTTACAATGCTGTCCTTTCATCACTTCCCAGGAAACTCAACAAACGTAACCTATTGGCCTCAGGTGAAGATACCAACGATGGTCGTTCAGTCTTGGCCACTGGTAGTCCTAACGACTGTAACGACTGTCGTTACAGCAACCAGGAACACTAACGAACCAGCGGTATCGATGACCCTGGCAAACGACCCCACTGAGGTTAAATAGCTGAGTTTCCCTGCCAGTCAGAACTGAAGAAGTCCTTTGGATGAGGGACGAAACGTCTTCCAGTATCTTCAACCAAGTCCAGTTGCCCTTGACTTTAACCTTCGTTGGAAATCTGTGACACTGTTTGATATGTGTGATAATGTGCATACCAAAAACCTTTTCAATAGCATTGCTCAGTTTTATAATATTAACCTGAATATATATTTTCTGGACTATATTTCAGTGCATTTGTTGTTACAATGGTTGCTCACTAAGTACCAATGCAGAAAATTAGCACGATGAGAGACATGCATAATGGCAGCCATTATAGCATCCACCAGGTAGCTGAAGTAAGAGATGTTTTAATAGATGAGGCAAGGACTTTTAAGAGACGTTAGTTCCATCGGTTTCTGCCTCTTTGCTACACTCCCACATGCAACATTAAATACAGCTGTTAGGTTCTTTACCCTCCGACAGCTCAACATCTCTCTGGAAACCATTAGATTTTACACACTTGTGTGTGTGTGTCTGACATGAGAAACGGCAGGATTTAGAGCAAATTAGAGATGCTGCACATCCATACTTATTCCTCAAAAACAATAAGTGGGTTGATAGATACTTGTATTTATTATTTTAAATAGGCTCTCTACAACCTTAAGCACTGAGTATGTAATATTCAAAATGTAGTAAATCATTAAAACCAAAATCCAGATTACTTAACATGTGACTGTCAATTTTGATTAGTTTGAATGAGTTGTCTCCAGTGATTTTACCCAAAGTCAAGCTGTAAAAGATGAAAATGTAGATTTGGGGCAAAATTTTACTTGACAGCTTTGGTTTTAATATCTTAGACAAACGGTTGCATGCCTGTGCGTGCACACATACCACGTGGAATGCTGAAAAGCAGACATTTTCCACAAAGATCCATTTTCAGACCTGTGCAGCACACACTCTCTCTGTTTCTGTAGGACTCTTTACCTTTCTCGTTCTTGCCCCGATGCACACACACTTTATTTAGCACATGCACACATGCACGTGCGTACACACAAACACCCACTCTTTCTTTGACCCGCCTCCCACACACACACCGACTGTAGGGGGGTTTGCAGATGTGTGTGTCCTGATCTGCTTCCAGCACAGGCTCTTCTCATGCCAGCGTGCTGACTCTGAGTTTTCCACTCTCTCTTATGAAATAAGAGTAGAAGACATTAGAGCCATCCAGTAGCCAGATCTGAATGCCTGAGATCTCACAGACACACATGCACAGTGCACACAGGTTAAAAATGCATCCTGTATCTGTGCGGATACTCTCTCCACAAACACACACACACATGCACACGCACTCTTACCACAGATTAATGAATTCATGTAAGCACATCCAAAAGTTAGTTTTCGGGCCCCGCCTTTTGTCTGAAGGGGCTCTTCCTCAGCAGTGTCTGGTGTAACGTGCAGGCTCAAGTCTGTGGTATGTTTACTCAAATTTTGTTTATTTTACAGAAAGAGGTTAGTGGTGAGGGGGGGGTGGGGTCGAGGGCATAAAATCTATTTAGATGATTCTTGTGTAATTATTGAGGGAACAGTGGACTTGGACAACTTTGTGTATGTGTACTCACAAACATGATTATTTCGAAATGATCATGATTAAATATATGGTCATTTGTGCGTAATTATTTGTAAAATATATTGTATAGTGGTTGTCATACGGTTATGAAGCTTAACCATACCTTGTGGAGACAGAGTATTAAAGATCCTTCATGAAATTAATTTAGGTGCCAGGTGCTTGGAAGTCTGTCGATATACGTATGTCGTTGCTGTGAAAAAGTAAAGACTCTGGCAGTGGCCTTCGTGTCAAGTTGAAAAGTGCAACTGCAGGCTAATGGTAAGCTACACTGTGCCTTTTTTGAAGTGTTTTTTTTTCGTAGGACATGCACCAAATGTGCGCAAGTAGGCAGGGGTGGAGAGAAAAAAATACTGGGAGAATTGCCAATCCTGCTTTTGATTTCGAAGGTCGAAAGCTCATCTCCAGCTCATGTTACTTTTCACAAAGTGACAAGTCACATCAGAGGGGTTAGCAGTCTAAAGTTGGGTGATGATCTTCTTGGTAAGTTTTTGCATGTAAATCATTTATATTCACGTGTGTTCCTGTGGGAGCATCATTCTGGCTACATCGCTGGCTAGTCTAACGTAAGCAGATTTTAACCGAGGTGATAGTTCTTTTCTGTGGTCATACAGCCAATAAAGATTCCTTGTGGTGTCACACTCATGCTTTATTCATATGGGCTTTATTCCAGTATTATAGTTGATTGCCTTTGGTTGAATTTGTGCCTGGCTTTCATTAAGAAATACGACCCTGAATAGCTTGAGATTGTGTTATGTAAGCTTTGGTAGTAATTCAGTGACTGGTTCCAAAATAATTAACAAGGTCATACTAAATTCTTTCACATCTTCCTTTAATTCTCCTTTAGCCCCTTAAGGAGCCCAGTGAGATAAGCACTTTGAGCTTGGACCATCAGGGTATTTGTAGTGATAGATAGACTGCAATGAATGAGATACAGGGACGAAAGAAAGGAATAAAAGTATATGCATAGTGAGTGATTGAAAGAACAGAAATCCACTAATGGGGGGCATTGCATTCATAAATGTGAGTCCCTAGCACCTTAAATGATATTTATGAAACACGTTTGAAACCCCAACTTACTGGAAAATCCTTTATTTATATAATGGAACTGTGCTGAATAAAAATAGTATCTCAACATAAACAGCAGTGTTTAGATGGTGAACTTTTCCCTGTACACTTGTCACCTGAAACATTTTTAGATTTACTTATTTAAGAAAAATAAATAAATAAAACTCACAGATTATTTTCCAGCTCACTAACTTATGTATTTGGTATGCACTTTCTTTGCAGCACACCTACATTTCATATTTGCATTTAAATTACGGTCTTACAAGGAATTACATATGAGTGAGCATGTAGGGGGTCCTTGTCTTAAGGCCATTAAGGTACACTGAGCCACAGTCTTGCAAGTTTATTGAATGTATAAACTGTACAAGATGGGTCTAATAAAATCTTGAGTCAGACAGAATTAAATCAATTTTGAGGCATGTCATATTGTTGGATGAAAAGTCAGAAATATACATGTTGATCTCAAATATTTAAACTTGCCGAGCAGCTCAGTAGAAACAAGAAAATGAAATACTAGTAAATAGCCCTGTGTAATTAATTTAAGGTGCCCTGTGGGGTTTTCCTGAGAACAGAGTTTTGTTTAAATGCACTAATTCTCACCAAAACATATTTATACATATTTTCCTCATAAAACATTTGCAGAGCCATTTTTTAAAGTATTTTAAACCATACAATCCATGTCTTCTTCTTCCCTCCCATTGTTGACACATTGCAACACTGCCTAGAATAATCTCTAACAGATATCTACATATGAATGCAGAATCTGTAGGCAAGGAACAAGATTTTGGTTTTGGGAATGTATTCTGGTTTCCATTTGTATTCTGAGTAGTATTGACCAATCATGTTGGTGATCATTTATCTTAAGGGATCCAAAACACAACCCAGTACCTCAGCAAGAAAAGATGGACTGACTGTAAAGAAATGGTTTGATTTCTGGAACCATTAACATCTGCATGGTGTCAAAAGCTGTGATGCTTTATTCACAATGCATCCATTAAAATAAAAGCATCCAAACGTTTCTGGACTTCAGTCCTGAAACTTAACTTTGGAGAAACTTGTCCTGGATATTTGTCCAATATTTATTTATTTAATTTAGAGTTGTTAGTCCCACCAACCAATAACAAATTTATGTGAAATCAACAATGCAAAGTAAGCTCCCCCAAATCATTTCAGATATGACGGATGTATAACTTAAGTAGATGTCAATCTGTGTGAATAAATCTCACAAACCTGATATGTTTTGCCTTGCGAGCATCAAAGCACACTTTTATAGTTTTGTATTTTTTTCCTTTTAAACTTTACATGCTCATGCTTACATTTTTCCCCAGTGGCCATGTGCACCCCTGCAGTGACCCCACCGCCCAAGATTGAGAACCACTGTCCCATCCAATTAGATAGAAGAGAGTTTAGTTTCTGAATGATCACACCCCTTTCCTCACAAAATTTTACTTTTATCTCCCTGGACCACAAACAAAAATTTGTCAATTTAGACTATAAGATGAGCGTTGTCCAGTAGCTGTGCAGAGAGCTGAAGATAGAATATCAGTGCATACACTGCAGTCTTTCTATTTTCTTTTTGGAGGAACTTGCTTGCAACATTGCTATGGGTGCATGCTTTTTACTGCAGCTATAGATGGAACTAACACAGAGGTTATGTGACCTCTCACCCCCTAACCTTTCTTTTTCTTTGGCTTCACCCTTATGCCATCACCCCATCTACTAACATCTTCCTCCCGCTCTTGTCAGCTCCTTCTTGAACAAGCACAGATGATTAATAGAGATTTGAGGAAACATGGGAGAGGCATGGGGTTGGCAGTGGGGTGCCAAGACAAGATTTTGCATGCAAGTGTGTGTGTGTGTGTGTGTGTGTGTGTGTGTGTGTGTGTGTGCGTGCGTTTTAGGGCAGAGGTAGTGGGAGGAAGGTTGACTACAGAGACCTTAAATGTTTACCAAGGGACCCCAGGAGACCGGGGCTGAGCCTCCCTCTTTTCTGATTGGCTTAGGCAATCTTCCTGTGAGTCTCAGAACCTGCAATTGGCTGAGACAAGGAGAGGAATGGAGGAGAAACATGCACGAGATGGAGATGAAGCACCAGCCTTGCCAGGGCTTTCACAGATACTTTCACATGAGAGGCGGGGAGACTAATGTTTCAATTAACATAAGGCCACATGTTGCAGTGGAGGGGCTCTCTTTTATAGTCCTTTGGTTCCTCAACTCATTAAAGAATGTTACACTTTTTCATAAAGAAAACTTTTGAAAGTGCTCATCGAACAGTTGTTAAGTTCACTGTAATAATGGTGCTTTAGTTTTTTGACAAGGGGAGAAAAATAGGCTGTTTTTAATTATACTTTGAGAATGACAGATTATCAAAACTGAAAGGCAGTTGAGACAGAGAGTGTCTGAGATGACCTGAAGACAAACTTGAGCTGTCAAATGCAGAAAAATGAGCAGTAATTGATTGTAAATTAAGCATTTTAGTCATGCCAGATGAGGCTGCAGCTTGACAGCTCTCTGCCATAAATTCTTGCATTGTATAACTTGGCCTTGTATGGCCTCTGACTTTTGGAATTCACACACACACACACACACACACACACACACACACACACACACACACACACACACACACACACACACACACTTATGACTGCATACGGGAAATTTATGTTGTGACAAATGTATGTAGTTACATTGTGAGTAGTCCAGTTTTACAAACCATGTTGTTGCTACATTGTTTTTGTTTGTTTTTGCTGTAGTTTGCTGCATTTTAGATACAAAATATCTGCAGTAAATCTAATCCAGAATAAATGAATGGCTGGCATTCTTACTGTAAATAGGTGCCAGTGTTTGAACACCTGTGCCCAGGCATTTTCTTGCCACTTAGTATTGCAAATTCTCTGTGCTTGAAGTGGCCACATTGTTACTCAGTAGTTGTCACGCTATATATAAGTAAAAACGCTGTGAAATAATTTTTGGGTTTCTATTTCTAGGCATGGGACCCAAACCTTTCTCCTGTAAAAACATGCCGGAGAATTTGATATGCTGTATAGCTCACTGTAGTCATATAGCATTAAGATACTCTGTCCTCAGACTACACTAGAATTGGGGAAAAGACTGGCAGCGTTGCCAGCATACAAAACATAACCTCCACGTTTAGGGTTGTTGGCTGCCCAGGAAAATTGCGGAGACGCAGCTGTAAATAGCCAAGGGTGAGGACAGACAGTTTGGCCTATATTTAGACATGTGGACTTGACTGGTAGAACTACTCCACCAACACTAGCTTATTGCTGATTGGAAGTAGTTTGTCACCGTTTTTCTATACCGCAGACCACATACTGTTAAAAAAAATCTTATTTTAGTTGTAGGTAGATGGCCTGGATAAAGGAGGCAGTCACCACATTTCTGTGTTAAAGGTTTTGTTGGGAAATTCATGTCCAGTTTTTAGAAGGGGAGTCAAGCTGTGGGGAAAAGTTACGTTATGTTAAGTTATGTTAATGTGGTACACATTTGCCAAGACATCTTTCTAGATTCTCCTGTATTCTGGACACCAAGCTAAACAGAGTGCTATTTCCCTCAGGAGTTGGTGGCGACCAAAACAGAGCTAAAAGGAGAGTAAATATTGTACTTACATTCATCAAGTGTTCAGGGACATTACTCTCAATGAATGCTAATGTTGCTTCAAATCTCCTGGATGTGTAAATAAGCAACAGTTTTTTATCATATAGACTTTGAAGATGATAGTGTGCAGTTTTAATATTACCACGTGGCGTTACCAACCGGAGTTGTGTAACATGGACTGGAGTTATGTGCAAATAAAATCAGGCCTGGCATCACTGACTGGCACAATGATAAAGTGTTAATTTGCTAATTTGTTCGTGATTCAAATGAATTAAATCAAGCATTTATTGAACATTTGTTATATTGTTATTGATAATTATCATTATTGTTTTATTGCCCAGCCCTGCTCGTACTCCCCATTTACATGTTGGCGTGTGTATAGGCCAGTAGGCCTACTAGGGCTAATGTTAGTGTATTTATTATAATTTTATATAATAGTATACTATAAAGGCTAGCTAACCTTAGTTTCATTTCTGTGAGTTATTTTCATTCATTAAATCCTTGTTTAAGAAAAAATGCTCTACCTGGTGGTCAGTCTCTAATTAGTAAATGCTAAGAACTAATTCGTCAATAATCATTCATACAGAACAACAAATTCAACATTTCAAAAGTTTGCTGTAGCGCTGTAACTTTGATGAGCAACTTTGCGCACACGGCTGCATGAAAGCTTCTCCCTGCTCTGTCTCCACTGACAGGGATTAGCAGGCAGACGAGAACGGGAACAGGTGAGCGTCACGTAGTGCCCAGAGAACCTGATAGGGCTGGTCCCGGTACGCAAAAGAGTAAAATGTAGATGTATTGGTACCGGTGGCCCACTTCAAACACAGCCAATAATCAAAATGACTTATCTGTGAAGCCGTCGGTGGATTACATTCTGACAAAAATGGCCTTGCTAACCCTAACCCAAAAAATACACATGGACTGCTGTTGCGTTGTTTTATACTAGCCTAACTGCAATTAGCATGTAAACCAAAAGAAGTGGCTACATGTTGACCTTTTGATTGACACCTCACTTGATGCACTTCCATGTCCTGTTTACGGCTTACAATAGCTGATGAGTCCACGTAGTCGGGAAGGGCCAATCCCCATTCTTTCGTGTGCACACCGAACCACCAATTGCGCTGAGGACTGGGTCGCGGGGGGGTGGGCTGGAGCCATCGGGACATTGGGCACAAGGCGGGGTACACCCTGGACAGGTCGCCAGTCCATCACAGGGCCACACATAGACAAACAACCACTCACGCTCACACTCGCATGTCTTTGGATGGTGGGAGGAAGCCGGAGCACCCGGAGAGAACCACGCAGGCACGGGGAGAACATGCAAACTCCACACAGAAAGGCCGGGGCAACCGGGATTTGAACCCACAACCTTCTTGCTGTGAGGCGACAGTGCTAATCACTGCACCACCGTGCCGCCCTACACACATATCATGCAGAGTTAAAAAAAAAATATGCCAAGAATACTTTCCACGGACATAAATATATAGTCGAATACAAAACACTCCGTGCCAGAATTCTGGCACAGCGCCGGAGAACTTGTCTGTACAAAAAGCCCTGTACAAAGAAAGCATGCTTCATAAATTCATCCTACAAATGCTACAGCACCAACCTGGCATAATAATTAATTATGCCGTGTTCCATGTTGGGTTTTAAATACACCAGCTGAAACTAAATGACACCCACAATTTGTTCTCCCAGGGCAGAGAGAAAGAGTGAGGGGGGTAGAGAGTAGAGGAGGAAGGAGGGTTTTTCACATGGGCATGTCATCATGGAGTCCAAATGGTAATTATAACCTCCGTGTTCCTGCCCCTATCTCATTCTACCCTCTGTCTTTTTCTCCAGCATCATGGCTGTCTCATCCTCCTCCAATCTCCTGGTCCTTCTCCTACTAATTTCCTCCCTGGATTGGCTGTCCACTCCAGGATCTACATTTCTCATGGGGTGGGACCATGTGACATCATCCGGTAGGTTACTGGTGTTTTTACTGCTTTGTGTAAAGACAAATAAGCAACAGAAATGGATTGATTTGAGACAAATTGTTCTTCAGACAGTTTATCAATCCCTCTACATGCAGCTCATCAAACATTAACAAATGTCATTCAGGTTTTGCGCACAACACGCTATTGACACTTGTTATCACATCTTTTGTCAGATATCAGTTGCAGAATGCTGTGTTTGCTCAGATACATGAGGAAAGGTCCACTGTTGAGCAAACGCCGCACTTTCCTGGTTTGGCTTGTCAAACAGGCTAGTGATCAATAGACCTAAGGTAAATATACGGTCGGGGCTTGTCTGTCAAAGTCCAGGGACAGGACGATGTAGGATGTTCGTCCAACTAATCCAGCTGTTACAGAACCATTTGAAATAATTAGGTGAAAGAATGCTTTAGCTGAGAAAACAGGCCAAACATTAAATTTGATATATTACATCACTCGACATCCCTAATGCAATCAGTGGCCAAGATAGGAACTATGCTGTCCTTTACCACATAATTTCTACAATTGATGTTCAAAGTCCCAATCACAAAATTGACTGTGAGTATTAGCTTTTTAATGATTTGGCATCCTCTAATGGTTGAAGCCACTACAGCTGGAATTAGGTGAAAGTGTACAGCCCTGCAACCTTAGCCAACATGTTCTTGTTGATTTAAAGTGTACCTGTGCTAGAACAGCACATGATTTAGAGAAATCCTCACAGCTAAGATATAGCAACTCCCAAGAATGGATCAATTCTGCTGTTGACTTTGTGGAAACTTTGCCTCTGAACCTTTTAAAAAGAAAGTTCTGCTGTGTCTGCATTGCTGGGTTTTATATTATGAGGGATTTTACTTGTTTTCTATTAAAAAAAACTTTATTGTTCATGGGCCTGGTTCAGTTTGCATAAAGTTGTATGTGAATTGACTCACATTCAAAATACTGAATGTGTGCACTGCAGATTTTAGTTGTCTTTTTACTTGTGCTAACCCTGCCTGACTTGAAAACCATGTTTCTCTCCTTCAAATTATAATGGTAGAAAATCAGGCTATTGATTTCTTTGTGTCTTCAAGTAGAGACATTGTTGGTTTTGGTAAGGCAATTGCAGTGCCAAAGAAATCTAAATAGAAGTTTGCCCACGTGCCCTTGGGATATCAATTAGATAAAATCCCACATAAAATAATGCTGAAACAATTAATTTATTATGTGATTGGCAGGAAATCAATGAATATTGTGGTAATCGATTAATCGTTTAAGTCATTTATCAACTAAAAATAGTAAAAGTATCCTGGTAAAAACATATTTAAATTTGTTGAGTAGTTAAATTTTTTATTTATTGTCTTGGAACTTGGCTAAGCTTCATTCATTCACCTTCTCTGCCTGTCTGGCTGCTGGAGAAACTGCTTACAGAATGGAAAGCACGAATATTACACGCACACTCCACACGTTAACACTGGAGAATTTTAGCTGTGTGATATGGGCTCTGAAAGAGGCGCTATCTGTGTGGATATACTGGGTACCCGTACATGTACTCAGCACATGATTTCTCTGTAGGCTACCCTCCATTTGAATTGGTACTGCCTTATTGTACTGAAGATCACTTAAAAAAAAACGTGTTGTGGTGAAAGCTATGACACGACCTACATGCTAATTCAGTTAGTAATTGTCCAGTCAAATACATTGGGCAATTGATTTCCGTTATTTCTCGCAACTTCAACATTCACAACACACTTGATATAGTTGACATTTAATGCAGGTTTTTCTTTGGGTTTGATCTTAGAAGTAGAGGTTTTGGTCAGCATGGTCCTCTGCGGATTTCTAAAATGCAATGATCAGAGAATAATTAAGTCAAAGTTTTATCATCTATCAGTTGGTTAAAAACATTGGTTCAATTATCATGTGCTATCAACTTGTTGTTCTGTCTGCTCTGCTCATTTTTGCTTTTCCAAGCAAAATCTCAAAATCCTCAAAATAACATATCACATTTTGGAACCGGGTCCTTTTGGAACGGTTCTCGATTCCCATTCCTACTCCACGGTGTCATGTGACTCGTTAGTGTTACAAGGTCTCAGGTGTGAATGGGGAGCAGGGGTGTTATGGTTATGTTAAGGGGGTTTTGGTGTTATGGCTCTCACACTACCTCAGACTGGTCACTGGAAGTTCAACATGGATCTAAAAAAGAATGGTTGCTCTACATAAAGATGGCCTAATAAGAAGATTGCCAAGACCCTGAAACTGAGCTGCAGCATGGTGGCCGAGACCATACAGCTGTTCACCAGGACAGGTTCCACTCAGAACAGGCCTCGCCATGGTCGACCAAAGAAGCTGAGTGCACATGCTCAGTGTCATATCTAGAGGTTGTCTTATAGACATATAAATAGACGTATGAGTGCTGCCAGCATTGCTGCAGAGGTCGAAGGGGTGGGGGGTCCGCCGGTCAGTGCTTAGACTATACGCCCCACACTGCATCAAATTGGTCTGCATGGCTGTCGACCCAAAAGGAAGCCTCTTATAAAGATGATGCACAAGAAAGCCCGCAAAAAGTTTGCTGAAGACAAGCAGACTAAGGACATGGATTACTGGAACCATGTCCTGTGGTCTGAAGAGACCAAGATAAATTTATTTGGTTCAGATGGTCTCAAGCATGGTGGTGGGAGTGTCATGGTCTTGGGCTGCAGGAGTGCTGCCGGCACTGGGGAGCTACAGTTCATTGAGGGAACCATGAATGCCAACATGTACTGTGACATACTGAAGCAGAGAATAATCCCCTCCCTTTGGAGACTGGGCCGCAGGACAGTATTCCAACATGACAATGACCCCAAACACACCTCCAAGACGACCACTGCCTTGCTAAAGAAGCTGAGGGTAAAGGTGATGGACTGGCCAAGCAAGTTTCCAGACCTAAACCCTATTGAGCATCTCCTTAAACAGAAATTGGGGGAGCGCAAGATCTCTAATATCCACCAGCTCCATGGAGGAGTGGAAGAGGTCTCCTGTGGCACCCTATGAAGTGCTGCGAACTCCACGCCCAAGAGGGTTAAGGCAGTGCTGGAAAATAATGGTGGCCACACAAAATATTGATACTTTGGGCCCAATTTGGACATTTTCACTTATAGGTGTACTCACTTTTGTTGTCAGTGGTTTAGACAGAATGGCTGTGTGATGTGTTATTTTGAGGGGACAGCAAATTTACACTGTTATACAAGCCGTGCACTCAATACTTTACATTGTAGCAAAGTGTAATTTCTTCAGTGTTGTCACATGAGAAGTTATAATCAAATACACTGGTCAAAAAAAATAAAGGTAACACTTAAACAACACAATGTAACTCCAAGTCAATCACACTCCTGTGAAATCAAACTGTCCACTTAGGAAGCAACACTGATTAACAATCAATTTCACATGCTGTTGTGCAAATGGAATAGACAACAGGTGGAAATTATAGGCAATTAGCAAGACACCCCCAATAAAGGAGTGGTTCTGCAGGTGGTGACCACAGACCACTTCTCTGTTCCTATGCTTCTTGGCTGATGTTTTGGTCACTTTTGAATGGTGGCGGTGCTTTCACTCTAGTGGTAGCATGAGACGGAGTCTACAACCCACACAAGTGGCTCAGGTAGTGCAGCTCATCCAGGATGGCACATCAGTGCGAGCTGTGGCAAGAAGGTTTGCTGTGTCTGTCAGTGTAGCGTCCAGAGCATGGAGGCGCTACCAGGAGACAGGCCAGTACATCAGGAGACGTGGAGGAGGCCGTAGGAGGGCAACAACCCAGCAGCAGGACCGCTACCTCCGCCTTTATGCAAGGAGGAGCAGGAGGAGCACTGCCAGAGCCCTGCAAAATGACCTCCAGCAGGCCACAAATGTGCATGTGTCTGCTCAAACAGTCAGAAACAGACTCCATGAGGGTGGTATGAGGGCCCGACGTCCACAGGTGGGGGTTGGGCTTACAGCCCAACACCGTGCAGGACATTGGCATTTGCCAGAGAACATTAAGATTGGCAAATTCGCCACTGGCGCCCTGTGCTCTTCACAGATGAAAGCAGGTCATACAGGCACGTGGAGGCCACACACACTACTGAGCCTCATTTTGACTTGTTTTAAGGACATTACATCAAAGTTGGATCGGCCTGTAGTGTGCTTTTCCACTTTGATTTTGAGTGTGACTCAAATCCAGACCTCCATGGGTTGATAAATTTGATTTCCATTGATTCCATTTGTGTGATTTTGTTGTCAGCACATTCAACTATGTAAAGAAAGGAGTATTTAATGAGATTATTTCATTCATTCAGATCTAGGATGTGTTATTTTAGTGTTCCCTTTATTTTTTTGAGCAGTGTATTTCAAAAAAATGTGAGGGTGTACTCACTTTTGTGAGATACTGTAATTGGTTGTGTATCATAAATCCTATTTTTGTAGGTTGCACAGTGAGAATCCCCCTCAGAATCAGGGTGTCCTGATAAGGTACTGTCATAGACAGGTGATAGTAGCTCCATCAGTTATATGACATGTATAAAATGGAGGCATATTTTAATAGTATTCACACAATAAGGATTTCAACACTGCTACCCCTGTTTACACCTTAAGCTACCATGTTAAATTAAAAACACTAGTATAAAAAAGATGGCTGTGTCTGCACTGGACTCTACTGGAGTTTTGAGCTCTATGTGTTCGCCCTCAAGCCTTTTTAATCTGTATTTGTTTATAAACGGTGGCAAATGTCTTAATCTCTGTGGGGTTACATTACCTTTCTGATAAGCTCTCAGACAAACCGCTTATAGCCATGTGAGGTCACACCATCGAACATTCTGAGTAGTCCACCTCCTTCAATTGTTAAAATAGTCTCTGTGCACTTTGGTAATCTAGGCCCGGTCTTCCTCATCAACTGTTAAAACATTTGTAAACAAAGCAGCCGCTGATAGCATGAGCAAACATGCACAGCCTGTGCCTTTCTCAAGCCCACCACTGTATCAACTTTAATCCTGACACCTGCT